ATATATATATATATATCTATATATATAATATATATATATATATATATATATATATATATATATATATATATATATATATATATATATATATATATATATATATATATATATATATATATATATATATATCCAATTTAATGATGAGTGTACAGTAAATGTTTTAAAGGTCTTTTTATTTTTGTTTGAAACATCAGCTGTTTTCTGAAATGACAATACAAAATAACATTTTAAAGTTATGAAGATGGTTTATTTGTTAAGTATGAAGATGTTTAAATAAACAAAGTTTTCTAAAAAATTTAGTCTTTACTCAAGTCTAGAATAATATTGCTGAAGCAGTTTTTCAATACATAGAACAATAATATGTCTGTAAATAATGAAGTGGGTGGCACGATCGCCTCACAGCAAGAAGGTCGCTGGTTTAAGCCTGGATCAGTTGGCATTTTCTGTGTGGAGTTCACATGTTCTCCATGCGTTCGCTCAGGGGAGTGGGAGTGCTCCGGTTTCCCCCACAGTCCAAACACATGTGGTGCAGGTGAATTGATAATAATATAGATAATTGGTTGCAGTTTATTTGTGTGATTGAGTGTGTATGGATGTTGCCCAGTGATGGGTTTCAGCTGGAAGAGCATCCGCTGTGTAAAACATATGCTGTATAAGCAACCCCAGATTATTAAAGGGACAAAATAAAAATGAATGAATGAATGAATGGATGAATGAATGAATATTATATAAAAAGTAAATGAATATAAGTATATAAGTAAATACATTTTTATAAATAAATAATAAATAAAAAATAATAAAATAAATACAAATGAAAAAAATATAAAGATAATGTTACTAATAATAAGAAATATAAACATAAGAATATTAACATCAGACATGCTCTTGCTTCAGGTTTGTCCATTGGCTTACAGTCTGAGTTTGTGGCAGGCTGGCACATATTTGGCTGCTGTTGAGATCATTGTGGAATTGTCACCTAAATATATATCATACTTTTTTCTGAATTTGATAATACCATAAAATGTAGATATATTTGCTGGAATTCTTGGAATTATTCAACTCTTTTTCTCTCTTTTTCTTTCTCTTTTAAATTAAATCACTTTTTTGCCATGACATACACGATTAAATATTGGCAAATATACACAGCAGAAAAAAACATACACTGAAAGTAATAACAATATTATTAACAACACTAAAACAGTGAAATACATATATATCTAAATAAAAGATTGATGATGCATGATAGTAGACCCCTTTCTCATGGTAGACCCCGTGACTCAGTTTTATCCTGGTAGCATTAACTTACAGAGGCGCATTATGTTTGTAGACAAGTGTAGTGAATAAATGTGAAGTGTAACACGGCTCATAATCTGTGGCCTGCAGTTTAAGTGTCCGTCTTGATTGCGCTGCAGGCATGTGACGCGCTTATACAACTGTAAGTGCATTTGCATCGGCTGTGTGGATGCATTAAAGCAGGGAATACAAATGAGATGGCACTGTAAGAACTGGGCTGCAGATTTGTGACTGGAAATAACCAAGACCCGTTGTTTAAATCTATAATGAGAAGATTTAAATAGAGGTGGGCAAATCCTGCAAAAGATAAAAAATAAAAGGTAACGTTTATAGTAATAATGTAAAATAATAATAATAATAATAATAATAACAACATTGATAATAATAATAATAATCATGATAATAATAATAATAATAATAATACACAAACAACAACAATAATAATAATTATAAATATGATAATAAAAATAAAAATAATTATAATAATAATAATGATGACAATAATAATAATAATAATAATAATAATAATAATAATAATAAATGACGATGATGATAATAATAACAGCAACATCAATAATAATAATAATAATAATAATAATACAATAATAATAATAATAATAATAATAATAAATGACGATGATATTAATAATAACAGCAACATCAATAATAATAATAATAATAATAATAATAATAATAATACAATAATAATAATAATAGTAATAATAATAATAATAATAATAATAATAAATGACGATGATAATAATAATAACAGCAACATCAATAATAATAATAATAATACAATAATAATAATAATAGTAATAATAATAATAATAATAATAATAATAATAATAATAATAACACAATAATAATAATAATAACAATCATGATAAAAAATTATAATAATGACAATAATAATAATAATAATAATAATAAATGATGATGATAATAATAATAACAACAACATTAATAATAATAATAAAAATAATAATAATAATAATAATGATAATAATAATAATAATAATAATAATAATAATAATAATAATAATAATAATAATAAACAAACTATATTATTTATTTATTTATTATTATTATTTTTTTTTAAATAAATTTTGTAGCACACAACAACCACATCAACAGCAGCAACAACAACAACAACAACAATAATAATAATAATAATACACATACTGTATTATTTATTTGTGTATAAATACTGTAGCACACATATTTTCATGGAAAATTATAATCTAAATATTTTTAATACAAATCAGTAAAAAATCAATAAAAATAAATCATTAATTCGATTTTTTTTCTCTTTATTTATTTATTTTAAATTTGGTCTCAATCTCAATTTTCTCCCAATCTATTACACATATAAATTAATATTGACTCATTGATTGATGGATTGAATTTTAGATAAAATGTTGGGTGAAATATGACCCAGGCATTCTTGAACATTCTGTGAGATTTATGCATGTGGTCAATGAAAAAAAACAAAAAAAAAAAACAACAACAACTGCAGTGAAATAAAAAGCTGCAGTGATATCTCAGTGACACTACAATAACAATGTGATTGCAGTGGTGTTAGCCTGATGGTTGACATCTTCAGCATTAATATGATTTTCCTCCGTCCATGACTGTAGGCCTGATTTTACAGTGACTTTACAGTGTCTGATGCTCGACCCTCTGCAGGGAACAAGAGCTCAAACGCCTGTAAATGAAATATGTGACATTTCCCAAGGGCCAGAGGAAGTTGTCTTAAAAGAGCAATCAATTTTTCCTTCAATCCAGAGAGGCCAAAACACAATGAAAGCACTCACTCATTGTCTTTCACCTTAATTAAGCAATCCATCATGTGACTGCCTGACCAAACCAAACCAAAAAAAGAGGAAGTTAGTTAAACAGAATAAACTGTGTGATGGAAGGGCAGCCAGAGAAACCAGTGCTAGGATTATTAAGGGTTATTGTATAACATGGTTTTTGGGAAAGCTTTATTAAAAGTTAGTAAAATAAATAAATAACTATAACAATGATAAAAAAGCAATTAAAATAAAAATAAAAAATTAATTATAAAACATAAAACTAAATATAAAGTAATATAATGAAATAAAAACATTTAAAAAGAAAATAAAGTAAAAAATAAAAAAGTAAAGTAAAAATTAAATAAAAAATAAAGTAAAAATAAAACAAAACAAATATATAAAACATAAAAAATATAAAGTAAAATAATGAAATACAATTAAATTATAAAGAAAATGAATAAAATAAAATAAAACAAAGTATAAAGAAAAGTATTGAAATAAAATAAAATTTTAAAAGTATATAATGTAAAAAATAAATAAAAAATAAACATAAAATAAAATAAATAAAATATAAAACAAAATATAAAATAATAAAATAACAGTTGAAAAGTAAATAAAGTAAAATAAAAATAAAAGGTAAAGTAAAAACAAAATAAAATAATTTTCCACAAATCCAAAAACATGCGCTATAGGTCAATTGGGTGAGCTAAATTGTCCTTAGTGTATGTGTGTGTGTGAATGGGAGTGGATGGGTGTAAGCCAAACGTTTTCTAGTGTTACAACAGTGATCATTTTCCTACCTCAGTTATTTTACGCATATATTAAACTGACTATGTATGTAGAACTTTTATTTTGAAATCAGGAGCCTTCAAATAGTTTACTGTGCGTTACTGGGTAACGACAGCACCAGGACTGTTCACAAACTCGCCTCTGGACGCAAAATGTAGGATTTACTGATTACAGATGTATTCATCTCCACTCTGAAGAGGCATGAGGTCTGTTTAGTTACATCTTTTGTTAATTTGTCATGTTTATTGTATGTTTCAAAAAATGGGCGGCACAGTGAGCACAAACGCCTCACAGCAAGAAGGGCTGGCTCAGTTGGCATTTCTGTGTGGAGTTTGTATGTTCTCTCCATGTTGGTGTGGGTTTCCTCTGGGGGCTCCGGTTCCCTTCACAAGACATGTGGTATAGAGGAATTTACTAAGCTTAATTGACTGTAGTGTGTGTGAGTGTATGCTAGTGTCTCTATGGGTTTTTCCCAGTGATGGGTTCCAGCTAGAAGGGCATCCGCTGCATCAAACATATGCTGGATAAGTTGGTGGTTCATTCCGCTGTGGCGACCCCAGATTAATAAAGGGACTAAGCCTAAAAAAAATGTATGAATGACTATAAAAATATTAAAATCAAATAAAAAGTAAAGTAAAAATAAAAGAAATCAGTATTTAAAGGGTGAATAAAGTACAGTAAATAAACTAAAAATAAAAATAAAACAAAATAATAACAGTTGGTAGTGCTGTCGCCTCACAGCAAGTAGGTCGCTAGTTCGAAGCTCGGCTCAGTTGGTGTTTCTGTGTGGAGTTTACATGTTCTCCCCTGCCTTCGTGTGGGTTTCCTCCGGGTGCTCCGGTTTCCCCCACAGTCCTAAGACATGAGGTACAGGTGAATTGGGTAGGCTAAATTGTCCATAGTGTGTGTATGAATGTGGGTGTGGATGTTTCCCAGAGATGGGCTGTGGCTGGAAGGGCATCCGCTACGTAATAACTTGCTGGATAAGTTGGCGGTTCATTCCGCTGTGGCGACCCCGGATTAATAAAGGGACTAAGCCGACAAGAAAATGATTGAATAAATGAATAATTTCAGTAAATAAAGAAAAAATAAACTAAAAAGTAAAGTAAAAACAAAACAAAATATAAAACAAAATATAAAGTAAAATAATACAATAAAATAACATTGAAAAAGTATTTAAAATAAAAATCAAATAAAAAAAATTAAAAATTAAAGTAAAAATAAAACTAAACAAAATATAAAAAATAAAACTAAATATTAAGAAAAACAATGAAATAAAATACCATTAAAAGGTAAATAAAGTACAAATAAAATAAAAAATAAAGTAAAAATAAAACAAAACAAAATATACTTTAAAAATTATAAAATAAATTATAATAAAATACAATAAAATTTAATTAAAACTTAAATAAAATAAAAAGATAAGCAATTAAGTAATGTAATTTATTTTCTTAACATTTTTGTTTTTTGTCTACATTAATGTCAGATTCCTAGCAAATTTTTAATGACAGGATACAAGTAGTTCGGTATACATCTTGTCATATTGATTCAGGTAAAGTTCAGTTATTTGACTGCGACATTGTAGGTTACCTTGTCATCTAAAACATGCAGACTCCACTCAAAAATGCCAACTGGTCCAGCCAGGACTCAAACCAGCAACCATCTTGCTGTCAGGTGACAGTGCTAATCATTAAGCCACTGTTTACATCTCAAAATTATTTTTTTCTTTGTTAATTTACTCCTTCATTGCGGAAAAAAATCGTCCATATTTTGCATTTATTCAGAGTATCATCCTAGTCTGCTCAGCCTATACTCTTACTCTAGTCTCATCTGACAGCAGAAGTGTCTCTTCCATTGCAACTGGATGGTCATTATGGTTTATGGCATCTCCAGATGGTTCTTTTTGATTAATGGTTTCTCTTGCGCCACCCTCCAATACAAGCTGTTATGAGTTGCAGGTTCTCTGTATGCGTGAATGCTGAACTCCTTCTTCCCAGAGTCGGCTGCAGGACGCTTCATGCTGAGGGTTCATGCCGAGGGTTTGGAGATTTGACCTTTTCCACACTGAGTCTGGAAGGTTCTGATAGAGCTCTCTCCTCCTGATAACAAATGTAGGTTACAAAAACAGCCTTTCACACTGCAAAAAAAAAAAAAAAACTATATTTGTACAATGAATTGCGTTATTATAATATTACTTAAAAATATAATAGAATTGATAGAAATATTTATGAATTTACAATGATCTTTGGTTTGGTTTCAAGGTTTAATGGCTTTCCACACTGCATCTGGAAGGTTTGATAACAAATATATGTAAAACATAAAGGCGGGCAGGCAGGCAATACATTTACAGACCGACAGACAGACAGTTAGATAGATAGATAGACAGACAGATAGATAGATAGATAGATAGATAGATAGATAGATAGATAGATAGATAGATAGATAGATAGATAGATAGATAGATAGATAGATAGATAGATAGATAGATAGATAGATAGATAGATGGATTAAAATAGTTTGAAGATAGATAGATAGATAGATAGATAGATAGATAGGCAGGCAGGCAGGCAGGCAGGCAGGCAGGCAGGCAGGCAGGCAGGCAGGCAGGCAGGCAGGCAGGCAGGCAGGCAGGCAGGCAGGCAGGCAGGCAGGCAGGCAGGCAGGCAGGCAGGCAGGCAGGCAGGCAGGCAGGCAGGCAGGCAGGCAGGCAGGCAGGCAGGCAGGCAGGCAGGCAGGCAGGCAGGCAGGCAGGCAGGCAGGCAGGCAGGCAGGCAGGCAGACAGACAGACAGACAGACAGATAGATAGATAGATCATAGGGATGTAACAATATTGTAAATACTGTCATACCGCAATAGTAATTTTCCCATCAGCCTAGGCGTGGCCATCATCCTTTGCGGTCTGTTGTCGCTACAGATCCAGTAATGCGGAAATGGAGTGTGTTGCTAGTAGCGGGGAAGAAAAAGAGCTAGAAATGATCGAACCTAAAGAGGGTTTTAAATCGGATGTGTGGAAGCATTTCGGTTTATTTCTAAAAAGTTATGAAAAAGGAGAAAAGGTGACAGACAAAGAATAAAACAGTATGCAGGCACTGCCAGACTGTGGTGAAATATAAGTCGGGGAATACGACTAAAGACAGTCATGGGGACTGCAGAACACAGCACACTTGTTAGATTGATGCAGACATTGACTTGTACCGCAAAGAGACCTCTATCTCACTCATGGCTTGTCCTCTTAAGTGGTGGAAAGACAATGCACAACGTTACCCACTGCTGTCAACCTTGGCTAAATCATATCTGTCTGTCCCAGAAACCTCAGTCCCAAATGAGAGGGTTTTTTTCTGTTGCAGGGGACATGCCCAGAAATCCCAGCTTTTACCTGATTATAGTTATATGATAATTTTCCTTAAAAAACCCATCTCTATCTAAGTGAGTGAGTGATTAAATGTTGAATGTGATGAGTTTTCAACAATACTAAATTGAAACTTTATTTTTTATATGGTTTAATAGTTTTTTGTTATTAAAATAAAAAAATTGAAGTTCCGGTTTTGAAACTTACAGATAGATGGCTGATTTGTATGTCATTGATATGTTCAGTGCTGAGGTAAATAAACACTTTTGGCACTTTTTTCCAGTCTTTTTATTAGTTTTGTTTTTCCTGTAAATTATTCAATAAATACCGTACCGTGCTATTCATACTGAGGTATTATCGTGAAATTCTGATACCGTTACATCTCTAATAGATAGATAGATAGATAGATAGATAGATAGATAGATAGATAGATAGATAGATAGATAGATAGATAGATAGATAGATGGATAGTGTTTTATCTTTGTCCTCTCAATATGTCCTCAACCTCTGAAATAAGTCGTACGTTTTGTGTGTAAAAACATGACACATAAGGGATCATTATTCATGCTGTGCAAGTGAAGGACGGCTGTGAAAATGAAGACTAAAGACGTCAGGGATAAAGTCAAATGAATACATAAACTGTGCTGGTGTCACCTTTCCTGAAGCTCAACTGCTAGATCGTCCAAGGTCACGCATACAGATAACACATGTACAGCTCGCTAAAACATCCAACAAATGAATACATATCAATACATTACCACCAAAATAAAAGCATCCGAGTTTACAGATGTCCCAGCATCCTGTGCAGACTGTGTTGTTCAGTTTGTTTGTTTGAATAGCACTTGTGCAGTTGAAGTCCAAATTATTGGCCCTCTTTTTCTTTTAAAAACATTTTCCAAGTGATGTTTAATGGAAAGAAGGTTTAACACATTTTACTAAGACAGTAGTTTTAATAAATTCAGTTTTAGTAGCTATTTTCTTTTGTTTTGCCATGATGCTGGTATAAATATTTTACTTTCAATTTTGATAAGATAATTGTATTCAACTTAAAGTGTTAATTAAATGCTTACTATTTTAATTAAGTCACTATAACTTAAAAAAAACTTTAAAACTATATTATTATTAAAGGCTTAAATTATGTTAATGAGGCAAGTCATTTGACTACAGTGGTTTGTTCTGAAGCCAATTGACTGAGTAAGTAACTAATTAACTGACTAACTAACTAACTAACTAATTAACTAACTAACTAACTAACTAACTAACTAACTAACTATAATAATAAGAATAATAAGAATAGGAATAAAAATAATTACTCTGAAAACAAACATCTGAAAAAAAAAAAAAAATATATATATATATATATATATATATATATATATATATATATATATATATATATATATATATATATATATATATATATATATATATATATATATATATATATATATATTAATTTATCAAAATATCTCTATAAATATATATATATATCTATATAT